AGTTTTCTTAAAATAAAACTGTCCTTTTCTTCACTTTGATTCTTGTTTTATATATTTATATATGTGTGTGTGTGTGTGTGTGTGTATAAAACACACACACACACACAACTTTAATTCGATTGTTCACATCAGTTCTTTTCTTTAAACCGGTTAAAAACAACCAACCCACCTCATTTCACTATGCAGCGCTGAGGACACTAAAAATAGATTGTGCAGCCACAGTCTGTGAGAGAGATTGTAACTTAGGAAATCCTACTACTTCCTCCCTGGTGGGGTTCTTTTATTATAGATTAATCACAGTATATCTAAAGAACCACAGTAACCCATTCGGAGGTGGAGAGGAGAGAAGAGGAGTAAGACCAGGGGACCAAGACAGCGCGCGAGAACGTAACACTTGTTTTTTCTAACGTCCTATTGGCTGTCCCTTTCATTAAGTTACACAGAGGTCGCCCAGGCTTACAAAGAAAGAGGAAGGCAGGAAAGACGAGAAATCAGCTAGGGAATGATGGCGCGACTCAGCGCTTAATAGTATGGAGAGATAAATTAGTAGTAAAAATAAAGGGAAAGGAAAGGAAACCATAATGAAAATACTAGGTCAAATGAGATGTGAGAAGGGGATGGAAAAGATAATGGAAAAAGAACACGGTGGCTCGAACATGTATCAGGCAAGGGACGGGAAATAAGGGGCGTTTAAATAAGGACTGAGAACAAATATTCATCGAGAAGGAAAACTTTTATTACTCTCCTTTCCCAAAAGCAGGAAAAGGCAACTTTAGAAGCTTGTTTGACCCCGCTGTAAAAAGTTCCGTTCTTATCGGCTTGCTCTGGCGACACTGATTTTGTGGAACGATTTCAAGGTCAATTTCCTCACGACTTTGATTTCCAATTCTTGGATGCAACTTTGGAAGCATGTGGGAAGCTGTAAGCAATCCCGGGACTCGCTCGAGAAGGATTTAATCAGAAAGCCCGGGGCGGGGCTCGGCTTGGAATTGTGTTAAAGCTCCACGGGTGACTACTGTCTTCGGGGGTGAGAACCACCGCGTGTCCGAGGCCTCAAGCCCCACACCCTCCGCGGGAGGCGGCCCCGGGTGGGAGTTCGGCGTCAGGCGCGGAGGGAGACGTTCCTTTCGATACTCTCCGAGCAGAGACGCGTTGTGTGGCCTCCCGACCGCTAGGGGGCAGTCCGTGCGCATTTAGCTCCCATTTCCCGGTAAGCGGTTGGCTCGACCCCAGACGTGCGCATGCTCCGTGGGTCCCGGAGGTCGCCCGTGCCGGTGTTTTCCCACGTGCGGCGTGCAGCGGAGGGGGTCATGTTGTAAGGAGATGGGGGCTGTGGTGATTCGTGCCATCAGGAATTTCAACCTAGAGAACCGCGCGCAACGGGAAATCAGCAAGATGAAGCCCTCTCCTGCTCCCAGGCACCCTTCCTCCGAGATCCTCCTGCGAGAGGAGATGAGCCGTGAGTGGTGCGAGGGCTCCCTGGGCGGGCCGGGTGGTCTGGAGGCCCTCGGTCCGGAGGCCCGGTAACTAGCGTCAGCCTGCGCGGCTGCAAAGGATCGAGTCCGACGAGCGCGGGAAGGTGGCGCCGCCAGGCCGGTGACATTGAGACTGTTCCCTGCGCGCCCGCGGTGAGGTCGGCGGCTCCGCCTACTTCGTAGTCCCCAGGGTGGCGGCCTGTGCCCTAGGCGAACCTCCCCTGCTTTTGCTGTCAGTGCTTGGCGATTTGGTACAGGGAGTCAAAAATCAAAAAGGATCATGTGCAGCGACGTTTTCTCTAAGTGTCTTGACAGGACGAAGGACGCCGAGCTTAACCTCATATTTTGATTAACATTTAAAATGTTTTCCGAACTGTCCGAATGATTATTTTTTTTAAAAAGTGGCTTTCTTATGGGAGGTGTTTAGGATTTTAGAGGAAATTTTCCTTGGTTTTAATTAATATTGTGGCATTTTTTTCTTTCCTTATACCATCTAGAAATTAAGGGAGAAATTGCTAGAAAAGATGACAAGCTGCTGACATTACTGAAAGATGTGTATGTTGATTCCAGAGATCCTGTGTCTACCGTGCAGGTAATGTGTGTTTTAGTTAAGGAAATAAACAGTTGACTTATTTATTTTTGGCCTCGAGGAAAATGATCAAAAAAAGTATGGCAAATGGTAAAAAAAAAAAAAGAGTGCTCTGCAAGTGTAAAAATGTCAGCGTACAGTAGTTGTGACCAGAACACAGTGCCTTTGCAAAGTTTAAGCACAGTGGTCTAAGCAAGACACATATTCCTTGGCTTACTGGATATTTACAAAGGTTCTAAAAGACTTGCCTCTATTGAATGCATCTGTGTGAATTATTTGCTATTGTTTCAGAATTTATAGTGCTTGGTAAGGTACTTGTAGTAGTTGTCATTTCAGTGACAAAAGGAGAGTTTAATATTTTCTCATCCTGTGGATTGAGGTATATTCTAATCTCAGCAACACCTTTAGAGGATTTTATGAGGGTTTGGTTTTTTGGGGTTTTTTTGAGGATATATTCAGATAGGATATGTAAAATTAGGAGGTTCACAGAATACATGGGGCATGGGAACCTATATGTAAATTCATATAATATATAATTGCTAGGCACAAGTGCTTTGTGTACAGTGAATAAAATAGACTTAGACCTTGCTCTTACAGGGTTTATTAAACTGATAAGAACAGATACTACACTTGATCTTAGCGAAAAGGCCGAGAAGCGATGCTCTTACAGGGTTTATGATACTGAGAGGGACACAGACATTAAACAGATGAGCAACCATAAATACATAATTACTAAAGGAGAAGTGTAGGTACTGTGAGAGTATATTAGAGGGACCTATTTGAAATTGGAGGATCAGGGATAATTTCTGAGAAAGTGACGTTTAATTTCAGTCCTGAGTGATGAGTTGGAGTTGGCCAAATATGTTTATGGGGGAAGAAGGTTTTATGTAGGGGAAAGAATTTGATTAAAAGGACAAGTGTCAATGACAACTCCCAGATTTTTTTTCATTCTAAAATTCTTTGGTTCTGTCAGCTTCTAGATAGGCAATAACTGTTTGCACAGATACATTTATTAATATGATTTTCACTAGAAACAAGAAATAAAACAAGATTTATAAATCATTGCATGTGGGGCCGGCCCCGTGGCACACTCGGGAGGGTGCGGCACTGGGAGCGCAGCAACGCTCCTGCCACGGGTTTGGATCCTGTATAGGACTGGCCGGTGCGCTCGCTGGATGAGCGCGGTGTGGGCGGAACACTGAAGGTTGCGATCCCGTTGCTGGTCCCCGGTACGGGCGTGACACCAAGGGTTGCAATCCCGTTACCGGTCAGTAAAAAAGCCAAAAATTAAAAAAATAAAAAAAATAAAAAAAATAAAAAAATAAATCGTTGCATGTGATAGTGATCAGTTATCACCAAACACTCATGTAGAAAAGGTTAAAAAAATTAAAAAATAAATCGTTGCATGTGATAGTGATCAGTTATCACCAAACACTCATGTAGAAAAGGTACAGGGGTTGATGTCCATGTTCTTTATGTTATTTTTAAACTGATGGTGAATAATACTTCCAAGTATTATTTCTCTCATGTTATACTAAACCATGCATTTGAAAATTGGCTCTTGGATCATGAAAAAAATTGAACATTTTTTATGTATGTGATACAGATATACGTATAATAGATAAAGGATATACAGTAGTATTAATTTTCATGGTGGGCATTAGGAAAAATTCTAAAAAGACTCCTTCGGGGAGTGATAATGGAAAAATTGAATTGCTAGTCTGTGTTCTTTGTTCCTTTTTTTTGTTTTAGGCAGTTCATAGCTTTCTTAATGATTTGTGATGTCTCTAAACATCAGTGATATTGTAACTGTCATATAGCAAGTAATTTCTTTATTTGTAGTATGACTTTTTAACTTATTTATTTATTTATGTTCAAAATTCTTTCAAATATGTCAGCCTTTTTGTCCTTCATGTTGTAGGAAGACTCTAACATTGCAAGTCTTCTGTTATTTTCTTCTAGTAGTTTTATGACTGTATATATTATGTTAAAATATTTGGTCAGTAAGTGGGTGGCCAGTTGTCTAAATATAATTTACTGAATAATCCAGACCTTTTCCACTTACTTAAAATAATTTACATACACAAACAGGATTGTTTATGGACTCGTAGGTCCTATTTATTTATTTTTCTGTTTTAACACTAGAATCATACTTTTTTAATTAATAGAGTATTATAATATATCTTGATATCTATAATGACCTTTCATTCTTTTCAAAAGTTTCTTATCTCTGCTCACATGTTTTTTTCCAGATGAATGTGAGAATCATATTGTCAGTTTCTTTGATAAGTCTTGTTTAGATTTTTAGTGTAATTGAATTAGGATTTATAGATCGATATAAGGAGAATTAACATATTTTAATTGTTGAGTCTTTGGGGCATATGGGGTGGTGGTTACTATGAGCAGGATCTTTTTTCACCATAATTTTTTTTTAGCTGTTTATTGCTAATATATCATAAAGTGAGTGATTTTTATGTTGTAACTACCCATATTGCTACGTTATTATTTCTATTAGTTTTTCAGTTGATTCTCTTAAGTTTTCTAAAGATACTCTCATATCTGTATGGAATGATGATTTTCTTTTCCTTTCTAGTATTTATACTCTATTCTTTTATTGTGTTGCCTATAACATTAACATAGCAGTGAAACTAGGCATTCTCACCTGTTTCTTCCTTACATAGGATGCTTCTGATGTTTAAGCATTAATTATAATAAAATGATACTGGTTTCCAATTAAAAAATACTTTTATGACATTTGGGACATTTTCTTCTGTTTTTTTAATGTCCTAAGAGTTTTCTTGTTTGTTCTTTTTGGTTTTTAATTTAAGAGAGGATGTTGAATTTTGTCAGATATTTTTTCAGTGTCAAATAATATTCATTTTAGTATTTAATATTAATTAGAAGGGAAATCTGAATAAAGGTGTGTTTGGAGTGGAAGGAGGATCTACCTGGGTATAGGAAGATAAGAGAAGCTTTGAGTTTTAGAAAGTGAAGAAGTAGTTGCGTAGAATGTTTCAAGCAGAGGTTGTAATAGGAAGGTATGAGAGGATGTGATGCCTTTGGATAACAGAGTTTAGTACAGTTAGGGGAAAGTGAGAGGGGTGAATTTGGGAGAAATGATTTGGGATAGAGGGTGATAGGGACCAGATCATGAAGGGCCTTATTTGTCTGGCTGAGGAATTTTGGTTTTATCTTGAGGATAATGGGAAGTCATTGAAGAATTTCATGTTGAAAAGCGATGTCAGATTTTAGAATAGGCTAGGAGGGGAAAAAGTGAATTTTATCAAGTCAGAGGAGATTAGCTAGGAAGCATTCATTCCTACAAGAGACATTGGCTTGAGCTGGGGTGATTTAGTGATGGGGGAGAAGGGAATAGGTTTGAAAGAGAATTAGGGGGCAGTATCAACAGAATTTGGTCATCGACTGGATATAATGAGGGAGGGAGAGGGAGGTGTCAGGTATAATCCCCAGTTTGGGGCATGGGAGGAGGATGGTGTTGGTCACTGAAATTGAGAATACGGGGTAGAACTGGCGATAGGTTCAGTTTTAGACATATTGAATTTGAGATGCATGTAGATCATCCACGTGGAGATGCCTGTTTAGGCATTTGGGAATTTGGGTCCAGAAGTCAGGAAAAAGGTCTAGATTTGAGATCACAGATTTGGAAGTAACATGAGGCAGTGATGGAAGTTGGGAGAGTGTGTAGGATCACTTTGGAAGAATGTGTACAACAAGAAGAGGGCCTGAGCCACAATTTGAGGCACACTAACATTTAAGGGGAAGCAGGAGGGAGAGAGTCCACAAAGAAAACCAAGAAAAGAACTACTGAAGGAATAGATGGAAACTGGGAAAGGAGTGGCATGGAAACCAAGTGGCAAGAAGAGGGCCTGAGCCACAATTTGAGGCACACTAACATTTAAGGGGAAGCAGGAGGGAGAGAGTCCACAAAGAAAACGAAGAAAAGAACTACTGAAGGAATAGATGGAAACTGGGAAAGGAGTGGCATGGAAACCAAGTGGGAAGATAGTCATAGGTATGTTGGAGTGGTCAACAGTGTGGTGAGTTGCTGTAGTGAGTTCAAATAAGGTCTGAAAATTGTCCTCAGAATTAAGCAAACAGGAGGTCATCTGAGATGGCAAATATCATTTTCCTTTAAAACTTAACTAAGGAGAAGTAAACTGGTCATGAAGGTTGGTTTTGGGTTTGGTGGGTGTTTTAAAAAGGTAGTGACTAAAGCATTTCTAAATTTTGACTAAAAAGCAGCAGTAGGCAGGGTACAGTTGAAGGGAAAAGTAAAAGGGAAGGAGTGGCATGGCTAGGTAAAGAGACTGGAATACAGACCACCAGTGCAGGGGTTAAGCTTGGATGAACAGGTGCAAAGATGGGTGTGCATAGGTTTTTTTACTTATATTGAGGTACTGGAAGCATTAGTTATTTTTTCAGAAGAGGCAAGATCTCTAGTAATATTTTAATTCATTCAAGGTGTTTGGAGGCATTCAATACGAAATACAAAATAGGAAACAGAATGGAGGTTATCAAGTAACCTTCTAAAGCAGGTGCAGTTTTTAGTCTAATCAATTCTTTTGGTGGTGGTTCTTTTAGTATATATGAAATAATGTGGTGAGTGGATGGTATACATTTGATTATTATTTTCTAGAGCTACCTAAATTTCTTAATGATAGAGGTATGGTTATGAAAAGGCAATATGGCAGAAATGCCATCCAACTGTGGCTTATCATAATAAGAAAACGTTGTTTATGGGAGCATGTGCAGTATTTATTTGAAGAGGAATAGTGTAGATTCAAGAAGCATGAAAGAGGTGTCAAATCTTTTTTTATTTTCCTAAAAGCCTTTTTTTCTCTTTTTGATACTAGGTAAAAGATGCTGAAATACCTCAAGAGCCAAAGGAATTCAGATTGCCAAAAGACCATTGCTTTGATATGATGAATATTAAGAACATTCCCAAAGGCAAAATTTCCATTGTAGAGGCATTAACACTTCTCAGTAATCATAAACTTTATCCAGAAAGGTGGACTGCTGAGAAAATAGCAGAAGAATACCAGTTAGACCAGAAAGATGTGAATTCTCTTCTCAAGTATTTTGTTACTTTTGAAGTCAAAGTCTTTTCTTCTGAAGATGGGAAAGCAATACAACCAAAATCATGAAGTTGCTTTTTCTATATGTATTCCCTATCCCCATCTCCTGTTTATTTCCTCATTTTTAGCATATTAAATTATATAAATTACCAAGTATTAAATGCTCCCTACTTGTGAGAGCATTCTGTTTATTGTGCGCCACTGACTTCTCAAGATTGCTCATCAAATTTATTCTGTTTTCTTTTACATTTTAATTTGGTTTAGGAGTAGTTCATATGTGTATGCCAGTATGACTAATCACACATCTATAAATTTATTACAAAAAAAAGAGTTAATGTTATTTTAGGCACATTATAATAGCTTTTAAATTGGTCATATGGCCTCTTGGGAAATGTCCTAAATCTGATTTAACTTTCAAAGTCTCACCTTCCAATTTAGGTGGTTAGTTCATTCTTCCTATGAGTCAGTGAAAATAAGAGCTTTCCTGATTCTTAAAACTGTGAACTTTTTTTTGTTAGGACAAGGGAGACTGGACAGTGAAGTAGAATAATAGTGTTTCCCAAATAAAGGCAGACAGGAACCTGGATACAAAATTAGAAAATTCATTTTTATTACTACTCCAGGGAATAAGAATTAGTGAGGATTTCTTTTGTTTTGAATTGGTTTTAATTATATAATAACTGTCTGTAAAAAAAGTAATTATTGGTATTTATAAAACATTAGCTTTCTCTGCTTTGAAAAGCAGAAATAGATAAGTCCATAAGTTTTTCAGAGAGACAGGCAGCAGTGGGAACTACTTGAAAAAATAATTTTTCTCTGAATTTATTATAGAAGTACAAGACAATTTTAAAGATCAGTAGAATCATGGAAAATGAAATTTAGTGATCAAATATATATATATATTCTGATTTTAATGCTAGTTAAGAGAGGAGTGAAAAAGTAGTAAGCAGAAGCATAAAATGTGACTATTGGAAAGGATCTGGGAAATTGCTGCTTCATCCATTTAACAAACTTAGTAGCACAACATATACCAGTACTAGGATCTTTAACTAGACAGTTTAGCTCTGCCTAGTAAGTTACTACCTGTGGCATCGTGGGTAGATTGTTTAACCTCTTTAAGACTGAATTTCTTCTGTAAAATGAGTGTAATGCTGCCTTACTTAAATCTAAGGGTTACTGTGAAGATAAATAAAGGACTACAAAGGACCAAGCAAAAAATGAGATGAGGTTTGTTTTTTGGGGTTTTTGTTTGTTTGATTGTTTTTGCAGTTGAGAACAGGTGCCTACATGACCTAAGATTCTGTAGTTTATGATACAGGACCAGAATATGAGTTTTCAGAATTCTGGTGATGTATTTTTTCTGTTATGCCTAAAAGAAGTATGTCTCAAAAGGGCAGAAGGTGCGAGTTATGGGAGTATTGGGGTTATCAATGTGCTTCTGAAGGAAGATGAGCATCACTACTTCCCAGTGATTCCCCTGGAAATGGTATAGGAGGTGCTGAAGAATTCAGCTTGATGATGGAATGAGGCATTTGTAGTAATGCTGAGAACAGAAAAATGGACTGAGGTGGGAAAATTTTAAGCTTGTTTTCAAATGCAGTTTTATTATGTGAATAAACTATACCTATTTATTTTTGATTCAATGCAGTAGTTCTTTTAAGAAAACATGAAAAATCTCATCAATATAAAATTGTGTTTTAAAATATGTAAGTCAGTCAAGACTTATTATGTAAAGGTCAATACTTGAATCACTAGTACTGCTATTTCTGAGTTATCTTCTCTATTCAAATATACACTGTGGTTAGGCAGTTGTAAATATGGTTGCTGTTATATGGTTTCACATAGTAAAGTACTTCCCATATCGTTCATTAGCCTACTGTACTGCTTTTTACCTATAGCAGGGCACTTGGGTGTTCGTGGTGTCACAGTAAGTGCAAGAAGCTTCAGAATACCTGGGTTTAGATCTCAGTATTGCCACTAGCCATGTCATCTTGGAATTGTTCTCAACTGAAAAACGCATAATACTCATTGCTAATATTTCAAAAGTCATTACTCTGCACTGATCTGGGGGCTTTATATGTATTAACTTGCTTAAGATTTACCACAGGTATGAGTACTATTAGCCATAACAGAAAAATTGAGGCACAGAGCATCAGTAACTTCTCAAAGATAACTTAGTAACTTAACTAAGTTATTTTCAGTATATGGCATTATGGTTTGACATATCTTTATATAGGTTGGTGAGCATGGGGGTACTTCAAAAAAATTTTTTTTTTTTTCCTTTTTTTTGTCTTTTTTCGTGACCGGCAACAGATCGCAACCCTCAGTGTCGTGCCCGTACCGGACCAGGACCAGCAACGGGATCGCAACCCTCAGTGTTGCGCCCGCACCTCGCTCAGCCAGTGAGCGGCCGGTCTGTATGTGAGATCAGAACCCTCGGCGGGAGTGCCACTGCGCTCTCAAGCGGCGCACTGTAGCAGTGCACCACCGGGCCGGCCCTCAAAAAATTTGTGGAAAGATTTGTATTACCTTTTAATTATTTTTCCATGAACTTTTTCAAGTACCCTTGTGTTATAAACAAATGCTGCTTTTTAATTATACAAATAAGAAACAATACAAATGGGCTCCTATTTATTACTTAGACTATTATTAGTGTAGGGAAACTCTTACACAGAGTAGTCAACTCTGACTCTATTCATTGCTCCTTAGGCCATTATCCATCCATTATTCAGTCATTTCTATACCAGCCTTTCTGTTTCTGGTGCTGGTTCAGAGCAATGCTATTGATTCAGGTCAGGAGCTTAGAAATGGAAAAGCCACTTAAAACATCTTCTGTAGATGGAAAGGAGAGAGAGAGAGACAGAAGAGATTGGTTGATTATATTTTTGCCTTACAAATATCGCAGAAATACCACATCACCAAAGCAAAAGGGTACCTTTCCTCCTCTCAGGTTATTCTTTTGTTGCATTTTTTTTCTTTTGTCACTGGCCTTGATGCTTCTGGAGGAGTAGCAAAAGGTAAACAGAAGATTTTAAAACCAGATTGAAGAGGTTCTAAGAGCTCAAAACAACATTCTTAATGAGGCCTTTAAATGGTTAGGTTGCCATATTCTATTTTTTAAGAGACCCACTAATAGGTAGGTCAAATGTGCAACCTACTTCTCAGTGTACAGTAATAGCATAATTTTTCTAAACTTTCTCTGCTCTCTCAATTCATTAAGCAAAAAGACAAACATTTACACTTTGCTTAATAGCTTTTTAGAAGAGAAGTGGCTTTTCAAATTACTTTCTCAAATCAATAATATTGCTAATTATTCATTCTTCACAAATACTACTATGTGCCACACACTTATCTAGAAGCTGAGGAGAGAGCAGAGAAGATAACAAAGCTCAAGTCTCATGGAATTTACAGTTTTACAGTGTTAGCAGCTGTTCACTTATCTATTGCTCCATAACAAACCATCTCAAAACCTAGTAGTTTAAAATGACAATTCATTATTATCTCTCATGGATCAGCAGATTGTTGGAACTCAGCTGGATGGTTTTCCTTTGGGATCTCTCATGTGGGGCTAGTGTCATCTGAAGTCTCAGCTGGGCTGGACCAAGGTAGTCCACTCATATGGAGGCAGTTGATGCTGTTTGTTGGTAGTTCAGCTAAGGCTGTGGATCAGAGTATCTCCGGGAAGGTTGCCGATGTGGCATGGGCCTCTCATAGCATGGTGTTTGACAGGATTCCAAAAACAAATGTTGCAGGACAAAGAAAGTGGAACTATCAGCTTCTGAAGGCCTGGGCCCAGAAATTGGTGGAGCATCACTTCTTTATTCTATTTATCAGAGCTGTCACAGAACCTACCTTGATTTAAGGATAGCAACATAGGTCATAGCTCTCTATGGGAAAAGTGTTAAAGAACTTGAGGTCATCTTTGCCCTTTGCAGTGTGTCATATTAGGAAATGCACGCTGTCAATTTGTCTCATTTTGATGATGTTAACTTTAATAGCTTGACTAAGGAGTCATCTACCAGATTTTCACTGTAAAATTACTATTCTGCTCCTTGTAATTAATATTATTGATTAAAAAGGGGCATGAGAAGTTCTAGAAGTGTCTATCTTGGTCTGGGTGGATATTACATTAGTATAAGCAAATGTACAAAATACATCAAGCTGTACATTTCAAAATAAAGCACTTTACATACTTTAGTATATTGTGTTTAACACCTCTATAAAAAAGAAAAAAAACTAAAAAATCAAATTCACCATCTTCCCCTTCATACCTGTCCTGTTGTACTTCCTTTGGTTGTTTTGACAGTGAATCCAATAATCTCACGATTACAAAGACTGCAAAACTGAGACACCTCTGACTGTTCTTAATTCACCCCTACACTCAGCTTCCTGCCTCCGTTATGACTCTCTATAATTCATTTTACAACTGGCACCCTAATTTTTTTAAGAAAAACAAATATGAAAATCTGCTCCCTTGCTTTAAATTCATCCCATTGTCCTTAGGATAAAAGCCAAGTTCCTTAAATTATAAGGAGCTCCAGTCTGTTTAATCTCTCCAAACTCATCTCTCATGACTTTCTCAATGTGAACTCTAGCTTTCCTAAGTTTTCTACTGAAATGTGTATTTACCTATGACTTAAAATGCAAAATGGCACTTCAGAGGTTTATTGTGAATGGCAATTTGTTCAATCCTAGTTAATGAGTATTATTGAGTATTGACTGGGTGCAAGGCTGTAAGCTAGGCACAGAGGTAAGAGTTATAAGGAATAAACATAGTCCCTGCTTGCTAGTTAGGATGAGAGAAGCATACAGATCATCCCACTGCAGGGCAAAATTTAATAAATACCCTAAGTATAAGGACATTGCAATGGGGATTCAAAGGAAAGAGAGATGAGAGCCCTGTTGAGCATAATTTATTTGCTTTAATTAGTGCTATTGTCCCAGGGAGAATGAAGCTGCCATTTAAGTGGGAAAATCACAGAAAAATTCAGATTCCCAGTGAGTACAGTCCCTTTGTGTGGGTGGCGTATTTGGTGACTCTGCATGCAGGTCTTCCACTTTCTGTGAACATACTCATGTTTCTTGAGAGGCTTTTATAAGCATTACCTCTTGTGTGGTTTTGATTTTCCTATGCTGGTAGACATTGTTTGCATTTTTATTTTCTCCTTGTAAGCATTGCTGTGACTGGTGCAATGGAGGCTGAAACTCCACTGTGACATTCACTATGGGGCTTTTGTGTAGAACCTGCTATCCTGAGAGAGCTCTCTTTAACGTTTATGGAGAAGGTGTGACCTCTGGCAAAGTCCCAGAGCTTCACATTTCATTAGACACCTAATGAACCTTTTTCACCTAGTATTGATATTTATGTACAGTGGAATCCTTTGGCTATACAGCTGCTGTAGAAGAGCCAACTATATTAGCTTGCTCAGGCTGTATAACAAAATATCACAGACTGGGTCACTTAAACAACAGAAGTTTATTTTCTCAGAGTTATGGAAGCTGGAAGTCCAAGACCAAGGTGTTAGCAGGGTTGGTTTCTCTTGAAGCCTCTCTCCTTGGCTTCTAGAAATGAATGGGGGCTGAGACACCTAATTCAGCCAATAACACCAAACTATATCAGATTTTAGCTGCATATGATTCCTTTTTAAGGACATAATTTGATGTTGGTATATTTTGCATTGCATAAAGTTCAGGTTGGTTTATGCTGCAGTTGAGACTATTAATGACAATTGGCAATTGAGACTATTAATGACAATTGGGACTTCTGCCCATTTAAAGCATTGTGCTATCCGGATGGTATCTTTGTCAGGATCAGGTTCAATTCCTTTATTTTGCAAGTTCAAGAATGGTGTCTAAAGTCAAACAGTTAAAAGCAGAGTCCAGAATCCAGGGTTCTGTTCCCTGATCTACCGTCCAATTTTCACCTACCTTCTAACAACGCTTGATTTCCTGAAGATAATCTGGAGACACTGCGAGATTTTAGATTTTCTCTCTTGTCATCAGAAATAAAATTATTAATAGGTATAGTTTTTGGCTTAAGTCTTCTAATTATATTCTAGTGCTTTGAAAATATTTGCAACCCATATTAATACATATGATAATTTTACATAAGTGATTAGAGGTTATAGAGCATATTAGCAAGGCACACCTGGGTTCAAATATCTGCTTCCCCACCTACTGGAAAGTTACTTAAATATTCTGTTTTGTTCCCCCACCAACAAATTCTCCCACTATTTATAGATCTGTGAGAATATGTCAAAATAATGAGAAATAAGTGTGTAATCTTCATGGTCTTCCGAATAAAACAAAACCACATTATTGTAACAATGATATCACCCTACTGTAACTGCAGTGATTAAAAAATTGATTTCTGGATCTATGGAACTTCTGTTTTTCTTGCTATTGTTATCTTCATGGTTTTGTAAACTTAAATCCTCTCTGTTTCAGATGTGCCCCAGATTTATAAACTTTTATTACAATTTTAAATTTTTTTCTGAATTTATATTACATTTTATGAGTATAAAGTGTTTTTACCTATGAGAGTTTAATCAATTAAAAGGAAAGCAGAATTCTGTAACAGAATGTTTTAATTTAAAAGTTATGTCAAACTAGGGCCAGCCCGTGGCTCACTTGGCAGGGTGCGGTGCTGATAACACCAAAGCCATGGGTTTGGATCCCCATATAGGGAGGGCCAGTTAGCTCCCTTCAGAGAGCGTGGTGCTGACAACACCAAGTCAAGGGTTAGATCCTCTTATGGGTCATCTTTTAAATAAATAAATAAAAGTAATGTCAAACTGTCACACTTTATTGTGATAACTTACTATGAGAGATAGCATAAGACATGGGAGAGAAGAAAAATTCTTAATTATTTAACTCGGTACATATTATAATATAGTCAGACTCCATCACTTGGAATTTTATTATTTTACAGGACTAGACAGAAGCAGATCATTTAAAAAAGTATTTCCTAAGAAAATGATTAGTCTGAGAAAGTTCTAGGAACACATTTAACTTGTTCTGGAGTATAAATTGCTTTTAAAGACTCAAAATTATTTTAAAGAATTTTGTATATTGTTATATAATTGAGGAGATTATGCCAAGTACAAATGCGTGATTATCTATTCTTTCCCCAGCTGAACTTCTGTTTAGGAAGTAGAAAGATGTGCATGTTTATACATCTTTGTCTTGTGAATTTATAAGGGATAAGACTGCACTTCTTTAAAAATATTGTGTAGCTCAGACTTGTCATTAGTGTAGTTTCCATTTTTGCTAGCTTGATTTGGGAGATTTTAATCTAACTCCAATGATGGTAAATTTTTATGAAATTTATAATCTGTGGGAAACCCAAAAGTAAAATATTGAATTTCTTTGTAGAGTGCTATAAATACATAAACCATTGAGTTTATAATGATAATGGTGGTTAATAATAATGATATTATAACCATGGTACACGTATGTGTAGTGTTCATTATTTGCCTGGCATAGTGCTAAGTACTTTACTTTCCTCATTTCATTTTATCCTGACAATTACTCGATATGATGGCTTTTGTTATCCTCAGTTTATAGGTGAGGAAACTGAATATTAGAGTGCTAAATATTTGCTTGACAAAAGATAGTGTCGCAATGGGGGAAGGGGCTGCACCAGGTGTAGATTTCTCTTCAAAGCCCTGCTCTTGACTGTAGTGATGGTGGGCTCCTCCTCATCATCACTACCCCTGTATTCTACTTGTAACTCCCAGATCCTAGCAGACAAGACTCGACTTTGAAGCTAGAAATGAATATGACCAATGCATACAGCAAAGATTTCCAGAGGGATAAATTTCAAAGGGTTATGATATACCACAGTGAATCTTACAGAGGAGGTGGTCATTGGGCTGGGCATAAAAGGAGAGAGAGGAATTCACCATGGAAGAGAGTTTAGTATATAGCAGGAGGAGACGATATGTGTCAAGGCTTAGAGGTAAGAGAGAGAATGTGGAAATGGCCAGTCATCGTACTCAAATCTGGGTAATGGTTTGCCTTTCATCCTTTCATCCCACATCCTTCTGCACCCCTACTAAGGAATATGCCTTTGATTACTTTCACAGGCTTGGAAGACTTAGCCTATCTTGTATTGCTGGCGCATATCATTCTATATTGATATTCCACACAGTCTTGCTATTTGCCTCACCTTTGATGAATCAGTATTGGCTTTTGAGGTGCACACTCATGGGTCTGTGTGGTATCGTTGGTGATGGGATGCTGATGGACAATTTCAAATGCTGATTAATTAGACCTTCATACCTCAGATATCTTCAGGGCTCAGAGAAGGAAGGTCAGCTCCCTAAATGAGACTCCCAAGGACAGGCACCAAAAGCTCTCTCTACTCTTGACAACATCTAATTATATTTATTATGGCATGTTGGTTGCTATGGTGATGGTAAGCGAGAGGAGGCTGAGCATGGAAGGGGTAGTTAAAGGTTTTGCTTTGAGGGGAGGGAAGTTGTAGGCTGTAGCATCTTTTGCCAAAACTCATGCTCATTAATTGATCTTGGCTATCATGTCACCTATATCTGTGATGCTGGCATGTGTTCCATATGCAATAAATACACCCAAGAATCCTTGAAAAGTAAGAAAAGGAATGTGATATCTGTGCTTGTTTTCTTCCATCTGACTAGCCTCTGGCATCACTTAAACCTCTTTGCTTATATTTGTAGTTGCGTCTTGAAAGCAATACTGATATATCACTCCTGTGCTACTTTTTGTTAACAGCATTTAAAGTTTTCAAAACTGTTTCGCCAGTTCTATCACTTATGTATCTGGTTTTAACAATTGTAATTCAAACACAAGTAAATATTTAACCATATTTGACCGTTACCATTCTTCACAGTTAGTTCAATTATTGTTTTTATTGACTTTTATTTTAAGCAGAATTAATTCTGTGGGTTTGGTCTCATACAGAGACCTAAGATTACGGCAAATGTGCCTCCTTACAGTTTGACTGACAGGACTTTGAGTGGCCAGATATCGTCTGAGGGCTTTCTTGGGCTTCTCTCCTTCTCAGCCGTTGTGGTAGAATTTCGTTTTAAGTAAATACCATTTTGGTCAGAAATTGGAGGACATATAGTGCCCCTCCAAACAATGAGGGGTATGAAAAATGAAAAATAGCTTCCCCCACACTGTCCACTATATTAACTTAGGATTTAGGGGGGGTGAAGGGGAGGGGAAGCGTTGGCCTAGATTTCATTTTGGCCTATTTGAAACATCAAAAAATGAGACAAAGCAATTGGACATGACAGTATTAGAAATAATTTTGGTGAAAAGGTGAAGGTGGACTAGCAAGCTCATTTATCCTTTATCTTTGAAAAGGATAAATTAGTTCCTTTCCCATTGTCAGTTGGGAGAGAAAAAGATGAGGTCTCTTTTTGAACAGGAAGATATGAAAAGTTGCCAAGAATTTGAAGATGATTTGAATTGCATTTTTCCCTGGATTTTCAAGAGTAATATGTGCATATATTAATACTTTTACCTGTCATTCTAAAAAAGGAAAATGATAATTTTTGAGGTGAGGCAAACTGATGATGAAAACACAACTACAAAGCCTTTAAAATAATGCAAATATCTATAGCAGTCTTGATTTATATCCATTGTTATGGGAGAGAGAATGGAGAAAAGAGATTAAGCTAATTTCCTCCTCTAGGATTCAAACTCCTCTTTTCTAGTAGTCTTTTTTTTTTTTTTTTTGCAAAATCCCAATTCCATGTTTATTTTTTCAGTGTAGTATACAATTTAACAAATCATTTATCCTCATTCATCATTTTTGTATACTTAGGATTTCATAAACATCTTGTTCTCAGGAGGATTCCAGAAGAAACTGAAGTCACAGAGGCTTTCTTCCCTGCTTTAATTTAGAAGAACACAATAATATTATCTAAATATTTCTATTTTTACCCTATAATGAGGACATTCAATCTAAAATTAACTACAGTCCTGAGCTGTTACATTTCTGGTTCACTTTAACCTGAATAAGGGCTTCAGATTTTCCTGAAATCACATTCATGCAATGCCTGTTTCAAGGCAGTGCATGGCTTGTTACTGTCAGAATTCAATGTTTATTTCTCATTGTAATGAAAAAGACCCTCTGGCTGTCCAACCAGCTGTAATTTTTCACCAGTTCCAAATAAACATTTCAAACCATAATGAGTCATTGTTGGGCTTGATGAAGAAAATGAAATTACAGACAGAGTAATTTACATCTGTGCTGGCTATCGATTTAAGGTTTTCTACAAATGTTGGTTAAGGAAAAAGATGTAAGGCGAAAAGATGGCTGTGGTTTTCAAAATGTGGAGAAACCATCAAAAAAGATTGATGTTACTCTAATGTACTTCTCTGTGAAAGAAACAGGCAAAACTTCTGTTTTTGGTAGTGTGATTGACAGATGGTGTTCAGACCTCCTACTTCATGGTAAGAAAATCTTCCATGAAGATGGGGTTGGATCCCCAAGAGCAGGGCCTAAATTTCCAACCTAGGAGCTGATCACACTGGATCTATCCGTGCCCTACATCCCAACACCCTCCTACCCTAGAGGATGATGGGAGTTTTGGCCTGGAAGGAGGGCAAATGAGGAAGATGTTTCCTGTATCAAAGAGGCCTGGGTCAGCATCCTCTCTAATCTGTGTCTCCCTTTAAGACTCAGAAAATGGTACCCTCCTTGGTGAGTCAAAGCAGTTGGGGCAGAGATACCTTTGCAGAGCACTAGTAAGTTCAGAGCTCTCCTAGGTGTTTTGAAGAGCCCTTCTCTGTATCCAGTCTTTACTGCCTGGACACTTGCTTTTGTATTGCCCACTGGAGTTTCCCACAGGTTTCTTTTTACTCCCTTAAATTACACAATGTATTTTTCTTAAATAATCAAATAAACATTCAACATTTGGGGCAGAATGAGTCAAGATTTACAACTTTAGCTTTTGAGCTTTCCACACTTTCAAAGCCCTGGTGATGGTATCAAAAAAAAATCTTTCTTTGTTTGAAATTGTATATTTGACTTACAGTGGAATTTTGGGAAAGACCAAGGAACCTGAGGCAATGATGGCAAAGGCAAGTGGGCTTTCACAAGAAAGGGGAAAAGGGAAGCTTGGAAATTCAGTTAGTAAGCACAGGCTGTGCAGTTCAAAACCTTCTCAGCGTTCAGCTTTACTCCTTGGAGCAAGACAGGACCAAACGTTTCTGAGTTTCCAGTTTCCCTGCAGCTTCTGTGCCCTCTTAGAGAAGAGACAATTATGCTTAATTTTATATTCAATGGCTGAATTTCTTCAAACCACTTTCAATATCAAAGCAGCATTCTTAACATGAACAGAAATGTTGTTCTGAACTGATTATTTAAATGAGTTTTTCACTTTTGCAGACTGGAAATCTTTCAGGGGATTTTGTTTCCAAAAGAACTTTAGAGAATATTAGCATAGATCTTTTATTAAAGTAAGATGAGTGATAAAGAACAGAATCTTTCTAAAATTATAGATTATAAATCATCAGAAAAACTGATGGCTTCTGCATATCAAATATGTGCTTGAAAACATCTTCATATTGCCAGAAGGAGTTGGGACCGAAGTGCAGAGTAGAAAAAAAGGTGCAAAACTTCGATAGTGAATATGGAAAATGAACAGCCTTTCTGACATAAAAGCAAGCCTGAAAATATTATTTTTGCTTCTCCAATAGATGACATTACCAACCTTAGATGCTGGAAAGATCCTTACATGATGGTTCCTAGCTAAAGAGAAATCAGATTATTTTAAAAGATACCGACAATTACATAAGCTGTTTTGGCTTAAAACGGCAATGCATTGTTTTTAACTAATGATGTTAGGCAGTTGAAAATGATTTGATTCTTGTATCTGGAGTCATCATGATCATACTATCTGAGATATGAGAGAAAGGAAGTGTATCCTCAAAGGCCCTACGGAGAGAGCACCAGGTTGACCCTTTCAAGATTTTGCCTTTAAAAAAAAAAGAATTATAATGCAAGAGGATTCTGTTCTGTTTCAGGACACTTTCCAGCATCATAATTTTCCCAAAGAGAATACCTAAAGTATGACTATACCAGGGAGCCCTATTGTGGATGCTAGTTATGCTTGCTCCTGTAGCAGAGAAGGATTTTATGAAGGTTAAAAAAAGGAAAAACTCTATGTGTCTGAGTTTTAGATCTTGGAGTTTCTCTCTTTGAAGGTAGAGTGGTCTTTTATATTTCTGTATTTCCCCTAATATGGAGCACAGAGAAAGTGATCAGTAAATGATTTTTGAATGAGTGAATGAATGAATAAATGAATGAACACATTAGGCCATACTAGATTTCCACATAGAATCCAGCATGTATCATACGTAAAACTGATATAATACATTTTTAACAAGTCAACTCAAATTGCCCATTAAAGAAAAAAGAAAAGAGTTTCAAAGGAAATGTAAGATAAGGATTGTTTTTCTCTCTTGTATCTTCACAATATCACTGCCTCCTAGTAGACATTACTCTTTCCGAAGTAACATTGGGGGAACCAGATTGTGCAGGGCTTGATAAACCATGCTGAAGAGTTTACATTTGATGCATTAGCCCCTGGAAAGCCCCTAAAGGACTGTGAATATCAAAGATAACCTGATAAGAACAGTTCTGTATGGAACAGTTCGGACTGTGGGGAAAGTGCTGGGAAGCAGGGAGACCAGGTGGGAATCCATTTCAACTTGCCCAGGTATTGCAGGAATGATAACTGGTCTTAGATGGCGTCAGTGGAAATGGAGAAGAGAAGGACATAAGAGGCATTCCGAAAAATTATAAAATTCCTGAGGGCCAGAATGTTGTTTTATTTCTCTCCATGTCTGCTCCATCACCCCAGTATCTGGAGCACAAAGGATCCAGTAAACATACGTCAGAGTAAACTGACATAGCAAATGAAGACTAAATATAAAGCCATAATGTCTACTATGGCTAAGATGAATTGCTTGGAATGAATATTCAGTTATATTTCAAAAAATGATTTCCATATGATATAGGAGGTGCTCAGTTTTCCTGGGCTGGGGTTTCAGGACATGCCTCTGGGTTTCCAGCCACTCCCTGAGGTCTCAGGACCCCTCCTCTAGGCTCTCCCCTAGTGGAAAGTTACTATTGCCTGTTAGAACTATTTTTAGCACCAACATAGGAAAATGAGACCACAAGGGCCTGGCTCATGCAAATCCAGAGGCTGGGCATGCTCAATAGAGGGCACAGAACATTCTTGAATATGCCTCGTGCATGTGATAGGGTCTGACCAATGAACATGCTCTGGGAGGAGACCAAGTGAGCATGTGCAAGATTAAATATTATGTAACTGGGGAACCCCCCCCCCCCTTAGTTGAATATGCATTAGATAGAGAAACTATAAAAGCTGAATCCCAGTCAAAGGCCGAGTTGTTGCTCACTTTCCTGGAGGTGACCTGCACTACACTGGCTGTGGTGTGTATACTTTACTTTGTATCAAACTTACCTTCAGCAAACAGCTGCTTAGTCTCTTGAGCCAGCCTGTGCTTTGTACTGGACTTTAAGTCTGTTTTTCTTGCTTTTGTGTTAGACTTGATGTCTGTACTGAACTTACTTTGGTGTTAAACCTGGTGTGGGCCCTGCTCAGTCTCTGGAGCTGTGCCGTGGTCTCTCTGTGGAACCTGTATTTTTTTATCTGTTATATTAAACTTGTTTTCACTGTCTGTTGTGACTCTGCCCTTGAAAACTTTCCTGTGGTGGAGTCAAGAACCTGATAAAGAGGACTGGGTGGGTTGAGACCAACTATTGGGCCCTCCCGACCCAACATCCAACATCACAACACCAGTGAAAAGGAAAATGGTGACAGCCTTCAGAAACTTTCCTGGAGTAAGGCCATAATTAAACACCAATTCCACACTTGCTTATGGTGCCTTTGAGCCTTCCCCAGACATAATTCCTCCTGTGAGCTCCATGGGCACTGTTTACTAAGTATGAGTATATTGTTGCATTTATTACATTGTATGACTATTAGTTTGCTCCTATTGCAACTTCATTAAGGTAGGGACCTAATTGTGTTATTTTTTAAACTGAGTTTAAACATAATTATCATTCAGTAAAATGCACGAACTGTAAGTGCACAGCTCAGTTACTTTCTACTTACGTTTACACCCGTGTAACCACTACCTGTATCAAGATGTAGAGCATTCCAATCATTTCAGGAAGTTTCCTCTTGCTCCTTCTCAGTCAATAGTCATAAACACCTCAGCCCCCATCCCAGATGACCACTATTCTAACTTCTATTGCACAGATTAATCTTTCTGTTCTTGAACTTCATATAAATGGAATCATTCAGTGTGTACTCTTTTGTTCAACACGTTATTTTTGATATCTGTGTCACTGTGTGCCTAAGTTGGTTTTGTTCTTTTTTGTTGTTATTTAGTATTTCATTGTATGAATATATCATTTTCCTGTTGATAAATATTTAGGTGTTTCCACCTATTATAAATAAAACTGATATTACAAATACAGCTGATATTACATTCTTGCATGTGTCTTTCTGGGGACACGTGTATTCTTTCTCTTGGGTATATTCCTGGAGCAAAATTGCTGGATCATAGGGTAGATATATGTTTTGCTTTATTAGATAGCTTTCCAAAGTGGTTGTAATGTTTTACTTTCCCACCATTAATGAGTATTACAGTTGCTCCACAGCCTCACTAATACTTGGTGTAGCCAATCCTTAATTTTAGTCATTTGGGTGGATATGTAATGTGGTTTTAATTTGTATTTCTCTGATGAGGAATGATATTGAAGACCTGTTCATTTGCTCATTGAACATTTGAATATCTTTTGCAAAGTGCGTCTTCAAGGGTTCTGTACATTTTGAAAATTGGATTGTCTTTTCTTAATTTACTTTTGGATACCCAATGTTCAGCATACTCACTGGCAATTAACAAATATTTTTAAAGGTTTGTTGAATAAGACAATGAAAATAAATAAAATGGGTTTTACTGATTTTTCTTTGTAGCTGGCCATGGGAAATGGGTTATAGAGGTAATTAGTCTTCTGTGATACATTTAAATTTGTTGGTTTTTGAAAATATCAAGACATAAGTTCTAAACACAGCTAGTTGTATATGTGACTTGTGATTTTACATTAAATTTTGGTTCATTTGTGCGTTTAAAGTACTCATCGTCATAGTCTAGAAGCCCAGAAAGGTTGTAGACTAGAATACGGATTGTTACATTACCTTCTGTTCTTGTTTCATCATGTTAATAAGATAGATTAGATATGATGACTAAAATACAAGATTTATTCTACTAGTTATATTTTAATTGGATTTCTAGATTAGAACTGTGCTTTCTAATTCCTTGATGATAAACAAATTTATAAAAATATGAAAAAAAATTTAAAATTCAGATATAAGGTTTATATTTTAATAACTATTTTTCTAATTATGAAAGTAGTAGCTACTCAATTTTGAATATTTAG